TTTCAGATCATTTAAGAAGAACCTAAGTTTCACTTAACCAAATTTTAAGAGATGATTAACAAATTTAGAAGTTTCTTCCTTCACACTACTCATTTGTATGTGCTAACCATCATTGACACGAAAAATCACTCAAAGGGGTAAATTAGTTTTCTTCTCAAAAGCGATAAAGACCTGTAGGCCGCGGTTTCCTTTACCTATGCTAAGCAGTTTCATAAGATTATATTTCGCAAACGAATACGACATGGTTAAAAGAGACTCAACGCTCCAAAATGCATGCCACTACGATTCGCCTCTCCCTTTTAGTGTCATTGATGTCATGGAGAGTGACGAATCAGATCAAACCACAGAACGGAGGTCACTCCTAAGTCAATACGTGCCACTAGAGCCGTAAAAATTCAAGTCTTCTCCATTCATCGCATAATTAATGCAACTACGCGCCTCTTGACCCTCGGTGTCGCCTGTTTGTTAACTGAAATCCATGCGATAGCAGCGTAACTTACAAACCGTTGCTGACAAAGAGAGAGGGAATGGGTGAGAGTTGGTTCGTTAGTTTTCTCATGTTTGTGCTTATGTCTTTTGTTTTGCTCTGTACAGATTGGCTCTCCAGCAACTGCTGTTCTGCATTACCTTGACGTTTTTAACTGAAAGTAGTCGTTTTGAGACTGAGGTGTAGCTGGTAAACTGGACGCAATGGCTGTGCGTCGTCACGCTTTTGAGCGGACTGCAGTGAAAGCAGAACTTGCCTCCCAGTTTTTTTGATAAGAGCTGCCGTAAGTGGTATTTCGTCTTGTGTGACTGCATTATCGCCTGGAAGAGAAAACAACTCGGCATTTTTCAATATGAGGCCGTGTTTAGCTCGGTAGCGTTGCATTAGGGCAATGAGGCCTGCCACACGTGAGCGGTAACTTTACATGCATTTTTGTTATATCGTGTTATTTTTAGTTCCACAGAGGACTGTTCGCTCAGCGAATCATTAAAACATCATAAAAGTGTCTTTAAACTGGAGTAGTGTTAAAACTCACAGCGTCCTTTTGCATGACCTAAAAAAACGGAACTAACAGCTTTCGCTCAGCCTCCCAAACGGAGCATTTCAAGGGGTGGAATGAGAGGTGGTGAAGTTCCTATTTATGTGAGGCCATTTAACAACAACTACTGTCTGGACGGTAGAATCGGAAGTGAATCGTTTCTACCCTTCTGATTCACCATAATGTTAAGGGCCTGAGACAGCTTGAACAGCCGGGAGTGTACTTAAAACGAGTGATATTATTTTGGTAACAGATAGACAAACGTTCTCCTTTACACTAAAGCGAAAAAAAGCCTAGAACCGGGTCGTAAGATGTTCTTATTGCAACTCATGCTTCACTTGTGAGTGCTTCCACGAAATTTGGAGTTTTTTGTCCACAAAGCGCATATCACGGAAGGCGGGAACGGTGCAAAATTTCGTTTCTTTTGCAAAGGCATCTGCTCTGAGCAAGTGTAGGCTTTGGTGTCTGCTCACCTCTTAAAACGAAGAAATGACCTCATTAATATTTAAGTACCGACAGAGAAGCAAGGATACGTTTTCCAAGTCTTTACCGTCTTTGCATTCAACGTGGGTGTGGACTTGGAATGGACAGAATATGCGCTTCTACGTTCGGTCGATTACTTGCTTTAATCCATTGCTTGCCTTAGTCAATGAAAAGAGGCTGGGGGCTATTATTGTTCCAAAGGATTAGAAAGATCGCTAGTCAGAAACTGGCAAGCCTGTTGCTTGTGTTGTGGATTTTTTTGCAACCTCACATGCATTTTGCCATACTTAAGTCTAAATGTCGCAATTTTATCCTATCAGGCAAATGCAAAAAATGTTAACGCTACTTTGGAAATGAATGTCGCATTCTACCAACACTTCCAGGGAATTGCTTAAACTCGTTTGGTTTTATAGACAAAGAAATGTTTTCACTTTTAGATTACTGGTACTTGGAAAACTTTTACTTCAGTGTAAAGGTTTGATTTGTATTTGTAAGTGTCCGATTACAGAATGGTGCATTTCCATTTGTGAAAACGGCATGCATAGTTTTGGTCGCCTATTCCGAAGTGCTCATTTCGCATCAATCCAAATCCTGTTTTGAGTGGACTGCTATTAATCTTCCGTGTTTGCTGAAGGGCAATAAACGTTGATGGTGGATCCATCCATTTCCCCACTTGCTTAATTGTTTTCGAAAGTCTTAAACTGCATTTTGTAAAGCGTAGATTGAGTGAATTCCCTTTCAGCACGGGTGTGTAGTAGTATAAACATGCATTGTTTTGTTAAAGAATGCTAAAGTTGGTAGGGGCGACGAACAGTGGCGGGGAATACGCACTTGCCTCAATGCAAGTAAACATTGGAAGTTGGTACGCAACAAATTTAACTAAGAGGTTCCGTAAAATTCCAATTCGTTAACTAAATTGTGTCTCCTGCCTTAAGAAGGGCGTTGGCTCCGTTCTACCATCCTGCTTGTTGGAAATTGGGACAGTGACTTGTACCATCTGCGTCCGATTTGCCCCTTTTACAAGGTACGCTGAATAGCGCACTGCTCTCGGCAAAGCTCATTCTTCTTAACTTCTTTGTCTTTCACTAAAGCATGCAAATTAATCAAGGTATGAAAAATTAACTTCATTTGCTGAATCACTTCTTAACGACTACTAGAATAGAAAATTAGCCTTGCTTAAAGATACCCTCCAGCCTACTTTCGATCCACTTAACGGGTCGTAAGAATGCGCTGAGATTTGTCGCTCCAATTTCAAGCGACGTTTCTCACTAGCGAGTCGTCGATACGTCCATGCGAACTATTGAGCGATGGTGGCGAACACCCCTTCATACAAGTAATGAAATTTGGTCAGTCGAAATCGTGACGATGGCTTCTGTTCACTGCTTTGCTTGATTACAGGCGCAAGGGGAAATGAAAAGGCTCTCAACAACGTAACAAATTTTCCTACAAGTACCTCGCATTGCTTAATACTGTCTCAACTTCAAACCTAGACGCAAAAAAAAAAATTAGCGACAGTGAGTTTGAAACGCAGTGAAGCTGTAACTTAATCGGAATTGCCATAACCTCTCCCTAACGGGTGTTTTACCAACTATGGGGGGAGGCGAGTTGCTTGGGCGAAACCACGCAATGTTGCGAGGGTTGCGTACAGGTAATGCGTGTCGACCGCAGTGCAGCGGGCGTTTACATCACTCACTGAATAAACAAGGGTAAAGCCCATGGCAAATGAAAGTATTTTGCATTGTAAACTTTGCGGCGTGTAAAATTTCCACTCCTATCGCAAAATACGTCATTACTCTTGATTCTCTCCGACTCACAGAAGGTGGATTAATTATTTTGCCTCATGCTTCATCCTCCCCACTGCTACGGGAGAAATCGGCTCAAATGAATTACCACCTCATTAGAAGAGGTGCGTGGGCAATTCCACTTGGAGTGTGAATGCATTAAGCTTGAGAACGAGAAAAGGCTGTTTCTCCCTTTTAAAATGTCAAAGTTCATTGACAAAGTCGATGTGCTAATTGGGATTACTTGGATCGTGTTGTCAACTCCTTCTAGGTCCGTTGACGCAGGAGGAGGATAAAATAGTTCTGCAAATAAAACTATTGTATCGAAAGACTTCACTTAAGGTAAGTACTAGGGAACGTTGCTTTTTGATTGTACATCGCTTGAATTATTTATCATGATACTAATTGAGCAAGCAGAAATGGAAATGTTGTGCCCCATTCAAGAGTCAGAACATATCTTTGGGGCGAGATGTTTAATTGCTTGCTTGCCAATTTAAGGGGAATTTTCGATTCGCTTAAGTTGCTGCCCTTTAAGTTTACCAGCTAGCCTATAAATTACCACTACCAATCTGTTCCAACTTAAAAGGGAAAGTTTTGCATCGCGTAGCCTGAGTGTAGGTACAGGTGTCAGCATAAGTCATGCGTGTGGGAGTCGTTTTAACTGATCATCTCAGGCAATGTTCGCCTTTTAACATGCAGAGCAAGGTGGACTCTGCCTGTAAGGAAAAGATGAAATAGATCAACCAGTCTGGAAGTGAGCAAGTAAACACCTTCTCGTGTAGAAGAAATAGACAAGTCTATTGGTACAGTCAGACAGGTTGTACATTCCCTTTCGATCCGTTTCTAGCGTTGCAACTTGGCTTCTTCTCACCCTGTGACACTTTAGTAGCGTCCCTCTCGTTCACTTGAGTAGACAACGCCCAAACACCTTAGCCAGTGCCTCAAATGTGTACCTTCATTTTTTAATTTAATTTCTCTGCTTGTGAATACAGTAGGTGCATATTTTAGTCAATTCATGAGCACATGCCCAAGATCCTTTGCAACGAGGTGATTTGCGTTAGGAAGAATTATTAAAAGTGGCGTAAAAGTTGAAGGCTGGAGTCTCGTCTTTTGAAACTCACTACATTTTCAACTCAGGGAAGTATTTTTGGCCCTAAACATTCACAACGTAGGGAAAATCCTTGGCTCCCGAAATCTTCGTCAATATTACCACATTGAACAGATTACTGTGCGCCTGACTTTAAAATTCACTCTTACGATTTGATTTGCAAATCTGCAGTGAATATTACCTGACTAATCAGTTATGTTAATTTATGTAAAAGGGTCAGGCAAGTTTTCGTTTAAGAGCAGGCTACTAAAAATCGTTTTATCATAACTAATTTAAAAGGTTCGTGTGCAATCTTCGCCAAACCTCACTTATGATACCACTATTTTTCAAACAGGTTATCAAAAAAAGATGTGAATGCTTTTCTACCGTTTGTTCCGCTCAAATTCAAAAGGATTAACAAAGTCATCCTACTTAGCCTAAATGAGACCAACCTGTAATCAGTTAGTGTACCGCATTTGTGAACCATGGAGTCATTAAAATGGTGGTAAAAATCGCTTGCAGCCACTGGACTGTAGGTGGTGGACTCGCTAATTGAACAGCCATCCGGGCGTGTCACCCCCCGATCTCGCAACCATTCCATCCCCAATCGGTCGTGCGATCCACTCCGTTGTGGCTGTTCTGCGTGATAGGATCGGCGTTTCTACCAGGTTTTCATAGTTCACTTCGCTGTGTGGTGCACTAATTGACTTTAGGAGTCGGTGCCCTTTAGCAAACAAATTCGTGCTAATCTCCTTCATTGCATTCCAGTAGCCAGCAATCGGTGTCAGCAGAGGTAGCATGTAGTCAACCAGTCTTGGTGTTGCCAGCGCAACGTCCTTACTTAAAGATTTTCGAGGTTGTGACACTTTACGACGTTTGGGAGCCTTCGAATATCGTCTGGCCTTATAGTTTCTTTTCACATCACATCTCATAGCTTCAAAGTTCCTCCACATGTGGCCTCTTGTCAAGTATGGCGCTAGTCTATCAAAAGTCATATCGAATCGTTTGGTGGCGCTAGTCTTATTCTTCGATGAAATTCCTAATTTGCGTTGATTGATCCTAGTCTTTTTAACACGGAGTTTGGGTCTCGAAACTTGTGATGGCTCGGCAGAAACTCGCCTATTGCCAGCACTTCTACGATTTCTTGATCTATCATCACCATCTGTTATCTCACATTCATTTTCGTATACAGGTTTAGGTTCACTTTCCACTTTTTCTCCCTCTATTTCCCTCAGTACTTGTGGTTCGTTACCATCACTCTCAGACCTTCCCAGTGCGTTGTTATTTCTCATGTCTACCGAAGGTGGAATTTCCTCGAATCTCAAAACTCTGGCCACATCCTCATGATGCATTTCTAGATTTGAGGCTCCATTCATGGCTACAACTACGCCTTCAGTCGCTTCGTCAATGAAAATGCGATATTCCTCCGTGATTTCAGGAGGGATGTCCAATTCATCAGGCATCAAATTCCATGAGCCCTCCAACTGATCTCTATTATTACCCATCACGGGGGGTGATGTTGTGCTGTCTTCTTCTTCTTCTTCTTCTTCTTCATTCTCCTCCTCATGATGACCGTTGTTATTTAATCTGGCCGAACCCTCTAGTGCGGGCGTTTCCGAAGTATCCTCATTAATTTGAGACTCTATTGGTGATGCTGGAACGACAACATTCCATCCATGGTAGTCTCTACGAGGCATGCGTATGGCGTGTAGATTTTCAAAAATAATCAAAAACTCTAGTCTAAGTGCAAATTCAGCACCATTTTTAGCGGCTAGTTCAGTAAACCTGTTGGCCAATGTCATAAGTTTGCTGTCACAGACGTTAAAATGGCAATGAAACTTCTGCCACTCATGTGAGTGCTTAGACTTTGGCACACGAAGCCTGTCTGTAGTGGGAATTATTAAATCATAACCATGTATCGTAAGGAGTCGGAATTTTACCGTTTCTGTGAATCCGGCGTGCAATTTAATGCGGTAGTAAAATTTTTGCTCATCCAAATTGATCGTAAGTTCGATGGTGGCATTGAAATGGCCCGTTTGGGAAAGTTGACCTGTTATGCACTGAAAACGAAACTCATTTCGCCTGTTTTCACGCAACACTTGATGCAGCGTGGCCTCTCGGACGTAAACAGAGACTCCAAGTGGTCGTTTTTTGAAAAGGCTTACTAATTCGTGCCAAGAATTACTACTGTCGTTTGACTTTTTGGAGCGTTGGTAAAATTTTTCTTGAATTATGGCCTCCACATCCCTTACCGACCGTTTAGAGGTTGAGCAGTTTCTCTCGTGTCCGGACGACTCCCTAGCTTTGCCTTTCCACAAACAACCAAAAATGCCATATTTACACCTCACCGGTCGCATGGGGCATAAACTTGTTTCGTGGTGCTCAAGTTCACTTTGACGAAAGTAGAGTTTACAAAACAGGCAAGGAGTTGGTAACTCAGCGGACAACTGGGTCACCAGAAGGCAACGTGATATTCCTGGAAACAGGGCGATTCTACAGGTTGGACAGGTGCCTCTATTCATCTCCTGCTGTAGGCCTCGTTCCAATTGATGCGTGCATTGTCGACAAATCAGATGACCGTTCTTGCACTGATTTGCCTCTGCGTGATATTCCAAACAGACAGTGCAACGAAGCAACTTTTTGATGGCCATGAATATCTGCGCACTATCAAGACCAGAACGAGATATGGCATCATTCCAGATGCTCTGATCGTGTTTGCTTTCATTGAAGCACACTGAGCCATTGTGTTTCTTAGGGTCGTCCGACGAGGCGACATCCTCAGCCATGGCATTCATGGCGGGCTCCGCTACTAATTAAATGGACAAGCCTAAGGAAGAGCGCTCTTTTTGCGCTTCCGTAGCACCTACGTCAGCGGAAATGGAGACATACAATCACTTTAGACGCATCGATTAATTTGAAAGTGGAAATGCAGCATGGCGTGCGCATAAGGCGGGCGAAACGTTTTACACTCTTCTGCCTGCGAATTTAAGCTTCATTCGTGACTGAATTAATTTAAAATTGCTCAACAAATCGGTTTATCGGAATGTATTTTAACTGAATGGAGGAATGAGGAATGTGTATTACTGAAACTGAATGGCCTCGAGAAGAATGGGCGCAAAATGGTGACTTACAAAGTATTTTCACATACATTTATCTTTGTTTACGCAAAATCAGACATTTTTATTCTGTTAAAATCGAGTCAATGCGTTGCCTTCCAGTAGACAAAAGCAGCCAATATATTTGACTAAAATATATGCTGTGAACATGCAAAGGGGTTTTGGCTTGCCAACATGCTCCGATCGCCATTCACTGCCTCCGAGGTACAATAGTGGATCTTCACATTGACCCTTTACCGAATCCGAGGGTTCATCAGCCAAAACAAGGCATGAGATGTGCAAACTCCTCTGTAAAATACCCCATTCTCACCATTTCTCACATGTGGAGTAGGCATTGGCACTAATGCGCTCACTTCGGTTGAATTTCAAACTCACTTGGAAGGTATTCACAATATCACCAAAAAATGGATTTTTTAATTAACGCGTTTGAAAATTGCTGCATTAAAGTGCAATGAGCTGTATCTTTTTTGATAGTCGAAATCCACAAAACATAATTCGCCCACAGAGGGCGTGCATTAGGAGATACGGGAAAGAAGCAATTCAAATTAGAGGTCATTACAGGCGCAAGACAGAGCCTTCTCCTGCCATCATGGATCATAAACGAGGTGGTCATGGTTACCATGAAGACGGTACGAGACGACACTACTAAATACGATAAAGTATGCTTTTTCAAACAACAATTTCATCGCACCTTAATTAGATAATGAGACCATTGAAATGCGTAAAAAGTGATGCGAATTGAGAATGCATGTTATCTGGGTAGTGAATGAGCATGTTCACAGATAGGAGCCACGCTGAATAGGATGGACAGAGGCGCAGAGCTCCCCGACTGCAGGAAGTGTGTCACGGATCGATACGCCTGCATGTCTGAGGGAGGTGACAGTTGACCTCTCCTCGAAGGCATTAATGGCGCGACAAACTCTCGAAAGTGTAAAGTCCGTGTTCGAGCTCAAGGAACGCATACAGAAGGAGGAGAATGCCGCCTACAAATTTTTCGTTGAGAACAAAGACTCCCTTTGTTCGCCAGAAAATCTGGGAACTGCGTCTAAAATTATTCGCCATCAGTTGGAATTGAGCGGCCTTAAAAATGAGCATTGCGTTGCGATGCTCAAAGCGGCGGAGGAAAAGCGGAAACGAGAGGAGTTGGAGCATAAAATGAAGCTTCGTGAGCTCGAGTTAAAGTCATTCAATGCTGACGATCTTCCATCGCTGGAGTTGATGCGCCCTGTTACACCTGAAATCAGAGATACCTTATATGAAGGTATCTCAGCCACTGGTGGTGGAAGGTTTGTCCCAATAGCGTTTCATTGCCACGCTCTTGTTATTAGCAAAGGGACTTTGCGATCTCGCAAATTAAATTTCTATTCATTTTAAGCCTACGTAGTCGTCAGGGCAGTCAACTAATTCCTACTCCTCAACTATCAGCGAAGCAAAATGGTATAGTTCATGTACAAGCAGCCATCACATCTTTTTTTCCAGTTTATTTGTCAAGTTGTTGTTTTACTGTGAAGGGCAGCCAAAATGTGGTTTCATGACGCAACTGAGGAGCACTTTATTTGGGATCCTTTAGGGGCCTGACGCGATGCTTAATTTCTAATGGCAAGCTTGACAGCTTCTCTCC